TATACAATATTTTGTTCCCTATTGTACACACGTCTCCAGAGGGCACAGTGTATCAGATCAATAGGGGGTCCACGATTGAAGGTATTTACATAGGTGTGTGTGTTGGGGGGGGGGGGCAGGGGTTAACTTTTGAGACAACCAACATTTATTTTACAAAATGCATGTGTGCTCAAATATAATGACATCCCTCTTCCACCCTGAATCAGCATTTTTTTTATAATTTCAAATCACAAAACTTTGTGATAAATGAGAACCTGTACCAATTGCTTCTATATCTTTAGCACCTGTATAACATACCGTACACCCATGTACAGTGTATTTTTCCCCCTAAAGAATACATAAAACCATAAAAGAGCTTGGGGCTTGGGGAGTTTCGGGGAGGGGGAGGGGGAGGGGGGTACAGGGAGCAATAGGCTGGGCCGTTTTGGGACCTTTCAGGGACAAATAGGTATATGGCTCAAATTGGACTATCCAATGTACAATCTCAAAATTTCAAAAATTGAGAAGAAAACAGAAAAGTTATGTTATAGGATTGAAAGGTCTGGCTCTCTTAACATGTACTGTGTACATACATAGATGTAACTGTAGTGACATCGTTAAAGACAAAAAAAAGTCAGCTTCACTGAAATGGCAAGTATATTTCCAGAAGGAAATGATTACATGAGCACTACAAATCCCATCCTTACCATATGTGCCAATGGATGTCACATCAAGCTTAAATGCATTACCATCAACGTAAGTGACATCTTGTCAGTAGTCCCAACAAGACCATTGAAGCATTTAAACAGAAACAGGTGTGACAACAGCAAATTCTCCTGTCAATGTCACCATGGGGAGGCGTTCATGTGCCCCTTGTTCCAAGGATGCGTCTCTCAACAATGAAGTACCCGGTGTCTTTAGTGGCATCAAACCAAGTTAAACCATCAGAATAATAAATCGTCAGCTGCCACCCACAGGATTATCTTCTTGACAGAAATCAATTAAGGCACCTGTCACACTGAATGTGCATCAATGATGACAACAGCAGTGAACAAGCAACACCTTAAAACAATACCCACTATATAATATACATCAACAATTTCTTGGACTGATGCGTGTTTAATATCTCTCAATCCTTTTGCAATTATTCTGTTTTGACTTCATGCAGGTGGGCCCAATTTTCAGGAGCCAGATCCAGGAAAAACAAAACCCGTTTCGATAATAAAAACAGGCTGCCTGCCAAAATGTCATTGTGGCGCGTGCCGCATGCAACCAGTTTCCAGTAATTTCACTTGGCATATTAAATTTCCAGGCAACTATTTTCTGCTTGACAGCTGCGTGAAATTTGGCGTCTGTCTGTTTTAAGTTGGCAAACCAAAGGCAACTTTTTCTTTGTGAAAACGTGAAAGCAATTCACGAGTTCAAGACATGAACCACTTTTGTTTTTATCTTCAATGCACTGTTAACGTAAAGATGGGCTCTCCATGTTTCCACAAAAATAATTTTTTTCTCCTTACAAATTTTCTGCAATCATCTGGAAAAAAAGGCTTTTACTGTGGGTTGCTCTTGCGCACAAACAGATCTGCCCTGCCATAAACTGGTTCCCAGTCCCTAGTCCCTACATCATTGATTTGGATAGGATAGGGGGCGGGAACCAGTCTACCTAGCAAGAACTGAAGTATTGTTGGTTATGATTATTCCATGACAAAATGTAAATGTCTCGATCAAAACTAAATAACTTTTGTAATGCCAGAAATACAGCAATTTAAAAAGACAACAACAAATTTTTCAAAAGTGAAGCAAATTTCAGGAGGTGTTTCTGTTACAGCTTCCTTTCAGATGGGCAAAGTCAACTAAGGGAATAAGATATGTTGTGTCAAGATTGACAAAACTGTGAGGTCTAAAACAGCCAAGACATTGGAGATTAAAGAACTCCCAGGTGGTCACATCACAAATAAGAGCTTTCTGTACTCCTTTAAAATTTATTTTACTGATGCCCTGGAAGAAACGAGGTATTCCAGAAAAACAACAGGGAAACATTTCTACGGTGAGTAGAATTCAACTGATCTAATTTCCTGGAGCCCGGCCCGTACCTGGGCATTAGATTACACACAGTTGCACATAACGACAACCAGAAGTGAAACGAGCCGAGAGGAAACATTAATGTGCGGTAAGGGTGGGCCCGCGTGAGTTAGATAGAGGAACATGCTGGTCTCGTGCAGAAGCAAGATCTAGGGGGACCCTTTGAGGTCTCTTGGGGTAGATACATTTCGTTTGAAGATGAAAATTCAGAACATGCAGCAGAGGGTTTTTTTGGGGCAGATGCGAGCAATCAAACTTTCCCCAAAGTGGATTTGACCAAATAAACCAACAATTCATCAAATTTCACCTCGCAACTGAACAAGGACTTTTAATCTTCAGTGTCCTAACAGGGGATGGGGTGCTATTATTTTTGTACCGTCAATGGAACTTTTGTACATTTTCTGTAGTTCATTAACTCCCTAGGCATTTTTTTTGCTATGATGCAACCTCAATCCAGCAAAATCCTCCAATATTTCTTAAATGTGGTCCTTGGCAGGGTGACCACTGCCTCAATCCTGCAAAATCCTCCAGCAATCACTGTCAATATGTTGAGGCAGAGCCAGGAACATCCTGGAGCAGTGCAGAAGATTTCAAGTCTTGGCCTGAATTTATGCACGGATGGGCATAAATAACACAAGGCCTGGCCCAAGACCTCCACACAGTGCATCTTCCAAAATCAGCAGCACATTTTTGCAATAATCCTCAATCCCACAAAATCCTCCATTTTGCAAAAAAGATTTTGGAGGATTTGGGAAGGTTAGGGTAAGGTTAAATGACCTTCAAAAAGTTCCACTAATTAAAGTGGACTGAAATATGTAAGATGTATGATGTGTCCAATCAAACCAACTGAAATTTTCCTTCTAATGTTTATTTTTTGTACATGTGTATGTATGTAAATTTTTAGTCTGTATATTTTTACCTTATAATTTTTAACTTATAATTTGTTTGTAATTGTCAGAAAGACTGGCAATAAATGATGCCCTATGCCTTCAAAGCCTTCCTCCATGATTACAAGTACTTCAGAAAGTCCCCCCCCCCCAAAAAAAAATGACCGAAATCACTACATGGATACCATTTGGTACCATACACCAAGGATGAATCGCCTATCTTTTCTTGATGACAACCAGACAGTGACCATAAATAATCCGCCATGACACTAACTCATTAAAGCAATCTTCTGACCATCGCATATTTCCCCTTGCAGGAAACGGTCAAACACACACGCCTTAAAATGATATCGCACATACAGTAGCTGCATCTAAACTCCGACTGTTTTCTTAATTATTAAGGCATACAGGGGACCTTTCATCAACGCCACAAATTGAAAGTGCGGGATGAAGTGAGAAGTAATGGGCCGCTGACGGACTAACAATGTCATGCCCAAAACCCTTTTGAGAATCAAACCAGTACTTACCAAGGATAAACTTAAGATTCCAAGCCTACACCCCCCCCCCACAAAGAACCAAACATAACTCAAAAGCAGTGTTAACTTTGCAAGCACAGACATTACTCATTGCAAATTTTCACGGCAGAAACCTTCCCAGGTTCTTCCGGAATCCATTGATAAGATTTTAGGGCCTTCCCTGAGTGACTGGGTTGTAAATGTGCTCCTCCCAAGACAAAGCTCCCTGAGGACACTGCTTAAGAGACACTCCCAAACACTGACTGAGAAACCATTAAATAATTATACCAAAAAAAAGGGGAAGCTGGCGATGGTCAAGATATTTTTCAATTGAAACTGACATGCTGCCAAGTATGACTTTTTCACTGGACCATTTCTTGTCCAGAGCAACTGCATGGGCAAAATTAAGTTAATTTTTGTCTTGTTCACGATACATACAACTTGGGAACACAAATGAAATAGCCATTCTCTACAGCAACTGTTCCACATGTAAAAATGCACAGCCGACTCCTGAAAGTAGTCAGACAATATCACTAAACTATTTAAACGGTTTTTCAGTCTGCCCCCGATAACGCTGTGACCATGATGGGCATAAAAGTATCTGCACTAGGAGCAACGTTTATATATGCTGATATGACACTGTTTGAGAGAGGAAGTGGTAAGAAATTACTCCTCCCAAGTTGAGTAGTGCTTCCCTGGTATTACAGAGCAGCTGGGCAATAGTAGGTGTACCTGCGTGGCACATGCAGCATAGTACACAAATAAAATTGGTTTGAGGGTGGATAGTCGATGGGTACTAGTTTGTTAAAGAGGTTGTGGAATGCTCGAAGACATTTCCGTCATTTTTCGGGTATATGTAGCCTAAGGTGTGATGAAATAAAAACGACTATTGTGTCTGTCATGAAATGAATACAAAAGGTACTTTTGAGAGCTGTTTTTCAGGTCCTGTTTCGACCCGAACGTGCAATTTGTGTAAAAGTCGTCGTTGGGGGCAGCAAACAAAACATAGTAAATTGTGACGTAATAAACAGGACTCGTTTATACTACGCTGCATCGGGAGTCCTGTTTATTACGTCACGATTTACTATGTTTTGTTTGCTGCCCCCAACGACGACTTTTACACAAATTGCACGTTCGGATTGAAACAGGACCTGAAAAACAGCTCTCAAAAGTACCTTTTGTACTCATTTCATGACAGACACAATAGTCGTTTTTATTTCATCACACCTTAGGCTACATATACCCGAAAAATGACGGAAATGTCTTCGAGCATTCCACAACCTCTTTAACTTCCAATGCCGAGGGGAAAAAACATTGACTATCCACCCGTAATAAACCATTAAATTTGTAATACTATTCCTCATACAAGTTCAGTTGAAATTACAATTACGGCACCACTAAGCTTGGGAAAACACTGTTAAACATTTACGTGTGGCGCCATCTTTTCGTTTGCAGCTAGTGCGATGTTCACGCGTGTGTGCTACACTCATGCGATAGTTCCACGATTCATCATCTCTACCTTTTGTTCTAAGCTTACCTTGGACTCCAGTGCATGACATTCACTCAGTAGGTTGCTGTTCTCCCGTTCCAAGTTGCTGATGTGGGTTTGGCACTTCCTCAGATCATTCTGAAACAAAACCAGTATTGTTTGGAAGATACTATCGCCTGAAATTATGGAATGCTTGTCTCTCATTTTTCAAAGCTTGGTAGAAGTTGTTACTAGGGAATCATACCACCTGCTTTAGCTACATGTAATGCATCCAGGATATTGGCTACTGTGGTTTTTCTTATTCAATAAGGGACTCGAACCTAAGACAAAGTGATAAAACTGCAAGGGGTGTTAGCCTATGCCTTACTGAGGTCTTTAACTTCACAATGTGTTCCTGAAACAAAGAACACCATCCTGAGTGTCACTGATAAGCATTAGGAGTTGCATCCTATAGCCCATACTTTCCATGTCTTTACCATCTTACTATGTTCCTCCTTAAACACAGGGACTCAAACCCAAGACAGCGATTAGAATGCAAGGTGTACTTCACACACTACATTTGTAGCTTATCCCACTACATTGTAAGTTACAGTAATTGACTAAGGTTCAAGTTTAACCCTTGTCAAAATCCCTACCTCCCATGTCTGAAAAGATTCAAGACTAACACACAATGGTAAGAATACAAGGGGTACCACCTACACAAGTCAAGCCCATGGGCTCCGTGCGCCACCAAGAGAGGGCACCTTACCACTTTGAGAGCCCCATGGACAGGAAACAATATTTGTGCATACTGGTTCATCCGCTCAAGTAAGTTTATTCTAAATGTGCACAAAGCCATAACGTCTTCCATAAGCGTCAGGCGTCGTTGGCAATGTGAATGTCTCTCCCGATGGTCTCCCCCAACTGTCCCTTTCTTGCCGGGGAGGGGATACTTGTACACGGAGCCCATACCTTCAATGTCTGTACCGTGCTCCTCAGAGATGGGGACTCATATACCGGAGACACTTATAAATGAAAGGAGCTGGACCCCTAGTTTAGTCTGAACCAATGTCTGAACTGCGCCACTGTGTTTCTCAAAACTGGGACTCAAACCAACAAGAATGCAAGCGGTAAAACCCACATAAGCCTCGCCCATACATGTATCTTCTATGTCTGAATTGTGCCACTGTGTTCCTCAAAACTGGGATTCGAATCGAAGATGCAAGGATTAGAATGCACGGGGTACCACACGCACAAATCTAGCCCATACCTCCAATGTCTGAACCGTGCCACTGTGCTCCTCTTTGAGCTGCTCCATCTTGGTCTTGTACTCCATGACACTGTTCAGCATCCCTTGCATCTTGGTCAGGTCCTCCTGGAGGGCCTCCAGCCTGGACTTGTAGGTCTCACCTTCCAGGAGGGCCTCCTTGAGACGTTTCTCAGCATCCAGTCGTGATTGTCGCTCTTCGGCCAAGTCTCTCATGATGGCGTCTCGTTGCTGCAAGGACAGAGAACAAAAAAATCAGTTGTAGATATTGTAATCATTATTTATCTCTGGAAATGAAACTGAGGATGCCTCAAAAGCATCGCGATACTGCAGCTCACAAGCTTTAAGAAACCTGTAGAGAGAAGACAATGTAGAAATGTTCAGTTTATATCCTGGGGAACCCGCAAAATCAGGCAGGGACTGAAAACCCAATCCACATGGGGACCAGGACAGGAATCGAACCCAAGCCAGAGAGGTGGAAGGCGAGGAAAGATCCACTGCGCCAACCTGACTCTCTACTTAATTCTCTATAGAGGTGTATCTTCATTATAATGTCTTCACCCTAATCATCCCAGACCTTTCAATATCCATCAGCAAGTTTGGGAAGATTTTGTAGGATTGAGGAAGGTAGAGCCAAGCCACATTTTATAACATATTGATGCATGAAAACAAAAGCTGGGCTTCTGGTGGATTGTGGTGGATCCAAGAAGGTTTCTTGGTAAAAAAAAAAAAAAAACTAAAAAAAACTGGGATTTATGAAAACTGTAAGTCTAATGAAATTAAAATGGACTATGGAACATTTACATCAAGACATTCACGTGTAACCAAATTTCAACAACAAATCTCAAAGAGGAGTTGCTTTCATTAAAGCATTGCGATTTGATTTCTACGACTAAATCTGTTTGTAATTTCTGTCTTTTAATAGGCAAAGAAAATATGACTCAGGGGGGTTGGAACTCGACACCTCTGGACATCCGGTTGAAATCCAGAGCAACAGCCTCCGTCAGTGTCTGCATGTTTAAACAATTACTCTCAATATATCTATCATTAAGGCTTTATCACTGACAGCAGGTCAGTTTGGAGATTTTTTTTAAAATAACTGGAAGATCTGTCACAATTTAAAACAATTTAGAGGCCATGTATGTTGTAGCAACTCCAGATAAAATTGCCGTCCGACAAAGTTTCCTTCAGCTGGAAATAGAATACATTCTTCCCCCTCATTTGTCGCTTTTCTCAAGATCTGATCACGGGGTATGAATCTACTTCAAACTATCCTTCAACTCGACGGCAAGTGAGATTCTTAATTTCCTCCGCAACCAAAGCAAATATTCTGCTTTTACTGGATTTCCTGTTTCCACTTGTCAAAGAAAACAAGGACAGCACAGCTGAAGTCTGGAAAGATTAAGGCATCAAACAAAACATGCCAGGATTTGAGTGTAAAGATGAAAACTCAGTGGAAATGTGACCATCTGTTTCTGATGCTCAGACCAGTGACAAGACAGATGCTCTGACCAAAGATGGCATCTGCTGATGGATTGGCTTACAGTCCGAGGGATGGAGTATCTGTCATAAAAAAAAATTGCAGATGAGACCTTGCGTCCAAGCAAGGCCAAAAACCTCATCGATTAATTATTGTATATTTTACTGTCCTCTCCCTACTTTGGAAAGACTTCAAAATGGGTTTCTCGGAGCTCTCGCTCAAGAAGATGAAAGGGCCGCCTCCAGCAAGGCCAAAGTGGACAGACACCTCTAAACGCGATAAATTTTTCACACGGCCATTTTACTTTCCGGCTGGTTCAATTTTTTAAAAGCATCTTCGAATGGCTCAAGGTAAGATTTATGTAAGTGTCGGTCCAGGCTGGACAGTGCGGCAAGGTTGTTTGCGATTGTTTCATCCTTTGCAGTCAGTGGAGAAGTGAACCTGTCAAATCCTATCTTATCTATACTCTAACAAATACAGTGACGAGCCATTTATTATTAAATTTTGGGGTGTTGGTCCGTTTTTCATTTTATAAGATGCCAAACCTTTTTCCATAATTAAAGCTATCGGTGTAATGCCTGACTGCATGATTCATTATTTGTGTTCTTTTTTTCTGGTGATGAAACCAAGGATTCCTAGAAAGTGCCCCAGGCACTGCAGCTCGAAAAGCTTGAAAAAAACTTGTAGTGAGGAGACAATGAGAAAAAATTACAGTTTAGAGGTGGGAGGAAAACCCACATTCTGGGAAAAACCCACAGAATCAGGTAGGACTGAAAACCCAATCCACATGTGGTCTGGGCAGGAATCAAGCCCGGGCCACAGTGGTGGAAGCGAGGAAAGTTACCACTGCCCCAACATGACTCCCTTTCACTCTGGATTCATTTAGAAGTTTCTGCTTAATTTGCTCAAGTAAATACACAAAACAATCCAGTATCCCAAATGAAAAGCTTTCCTCAAAATATATTCTCCACTTCTGCTAAAGTATTCTGAGCATTCCCTAAACTGTACTCCCAGGAGTACATTTCCAGCGATTTTGTAACACATGGCACATGTTCAAAATTTATGTTTAAGGAATCAAGCGACCGATTTCTAAATTCATCATTATGTTTTTTATCATCTAAGAGTCACTTTTTGTAGACTTAAAAAATCTCGAACAAGATCGGTTATCATCAACTCAATAGCTTTTATACACTACATGTACAGGGTGTCCCAAAAAAAATGCTCCACTCTCTTTTTTTCCAAAATTCAAGAAAACCAGAATGCATAAATGTTCTTATCATGCATGGTAAGAATGCTATGTGTCTTGGTTGTTATCTACCAAAAAATCAGATCATACTATCAATCCACTGGGGACAGAAATGCTTAAATATGAACTCGCCTCCATTTGCCAACTGCGCTGGGGACTCAAATCACCAATTTTAAAATGTCGATTTTTGTCAAGTGTGCTTTTCAAAAATTCTACTTGGTATCTATTATGAAAGACCAGTCATCAGTTGTTGTCAAGCAAACAAGAGAAAACCAACCAACCATGGCATTGTTCATTTATTGGACTTTGACTAAAAATACCTATTTGTAAATCAACCACAGGCAATAATTGTTCACCTGTGGCTGGGTGCTACAATTCAGTGTGGGGTTCCCTCAAATCAGGTGGCAAAATGTTCTGGTCTGAAAAGAACCAGTCAAGCAAATCGGCACTGCCCACACATAGGTTGTTACGTGTATTTGATTTACAAATAGGTATTTTTAGTCAAAGTCCAATAAATGAACAATGCCATGGTTGGTTGGTTTTCTCTTGTTTGCTTGACAACAACTGATGACTGGTCTTCCATAATAGAAACCAAGTAGAATTTTTGAAAAGCACACTTGACAAAAATCGCCATTTTAAAATTGGTGATTTGAGTCCCCAGCGCAGTTGGCAAATGGAGGCGAGTTCATATTTAAGCATTTCTGTCCCTAGTGGATTGATAGTATGATCTGATTTTTTGGTAGATAACAACCAAGACACATAGCATTCTTACCATGCATGATAAGAAAATTTATGCCTTCTGGTTTTCTTGAATTTTGGGGAAAAAGAGAGTGGAGCATTTTTTGGGGGACACCCTGTATAAGTACTAGTACCGGTCAAAAAACTACAGCTTTAGTGGTATCAAGTCTTGAAATCTTAAATCTTGATCCCAAAATTCGTCTTCAATTTACACAAATTTCTTCACTACAAATCCTCAGAGGTAAACTCTGTAATAATACAAACATCTAACAAGCGTAATTCTTACCTCTGCATACGTAATATCCATCGTTTCCAGTTCTATCCTTCAATCCAAATCACAGAAAGCTCCCGTTTCTCACAAAATCTAAACCCAAACTCCTACTTCCCCCCTTCCCAATCCAACAAGACCACGTCGTGCTACCCCCCTGGCATCCTCGGTGACTGACTGAACCAGCAATTTGAGGGGTTGGGATTAAAGTAAGGCTTGGAGTCAGCCGGCTCTGGTCATGGACAGGGCAGTGCAACAGGATGAGAGTCACTCATCATAACCGAGTAAGGCAAGTTATAAGAGGGTCCAGTCACAGCCATTTCCTGCACTGTAAATCCCCCCTCCCCCTCCCCCCTCCCCCTCTGTCTCACCGCATGGTCGCCGTCCCTTTGACACCAAACTGGGGGTTTGTTTTTCCTTACTGGTGGGTTGATTCCGCCGCCTTTAAGCCCCTCTCGGAAGGATAGAGGGATCAGTCCAATTAACTAGATATGGTTACTCTGGATTCTAATTGAATATTGTAAACACGCAACCAACGGTTTTCAATGACAGGTGTAGAACTACAAGATAAATAATTTAGATTAGGCAAAGTTGTCACTTAATTTTATATCTTTCATAGAGCACGATATGGAAATTAACTAGCACAAGTTACTCATACATTGTACAATATGTACTACAAAAAAATTACCGCCCAAAAAAGGAATAAACTGGGGGGAATATTTACAAAAGCACATTCAATTCCATGGTTCACTTTAATTTATAGAAGAAAAAACTGCTGTTATCTGACATACTAGTGACAGTTGCTGAAACGTTCAGTACTTCAGGTTCAGGTGAAGATTTTCAACTGAGATTAAGCATACAGTTGGGTCTTCTGTGTCCCCACTGATCCAGGTAGCGTAAAAACAATAACCCTCCTCCCATGTGGGAATTCCAAAATTTGGTCTTTTGACTACAGAAAGGGAAATTGAGAACCAGAAGCACTAACATCCTTCTTAATGAGTGGGTCACTGCCACTTCCTCTACGAATTAGCTCAAACCGTTGAGGTACTGTTCAGGGGGAAACTTGTCGCCTAATTTGATAGTTCCTATCTGTTACCCTACTCGCAAGGGGTCAGAAACTTTCAACAGCCGAAAGGTTTTCAGAGAGGGGGGGGGGGGGTCATCTCTGCGAACGGAGACACAATACTTTAAAAATAGTTGTTGTCAGGGCTCGGTATGGGAAGAGTGAGACAGCTGGTTTTCTCACTCGATTCTAGATTGGTTAGTTCCCTCCGAGTTCATCCGAGTAGGAAACAACTCTTGCAAGAAATGGATTGCCGACAACAGCTGCACACGGTCGTCACCAACAAAAAATGTTGCAGGAATTGTGTGTGAAAGCGGGTTCATACTACACATGCATTTTAGTGCAAAGCGAACTCGTTGGGGTCACGGCAAACGTAACAATGAAACTTTAACAAGTGACGTTATTAAATTTGCTTGAGGTTTGATCTGGCCTTAAAAAGGAGAGATTCACAACTTAATCATTAACCCTATAACCTTCCCAAATCTGCCAAAATCCACTTTGCAAATTGGAGATTTTGCAGGGTTGAAGCTATGGCAAAAATTTTCCATAGCCATGGCTGAATTTGGAGGAAGCACTGTGTCAAGGTCTTGAGCCGGACCTTGTGTTCTTTTTGCTCAGCCATGCATACATTTAGGCCTAGATTATACTTAAATCTTCCGCACTGCTCCAGGATGTCACTGGCTCTGCCTCAACATATTGACAGTGATTGCTGGAGGATTTTTGCAGGATTGAGACAGTGGTCACCCCTCCAAGGACACATTCAGGAAATAACAGAGGTTTTTGCAGGATTGAGGCTGTATTCATTTTTTTTACATGGAGGCAGTTTGAGGATTTTGCAGGATTGAGGTTGCATCCTGGCAAAAATGCCGAGGGAGTTGGGGTTAAAGTTGTGTCCGTGTGCATGACATTACTTAATTCTCAACTGTCTCTCTCTCTCTGACCAGAGGAGATGGCGCCATCATGGATTGACACTTGGGAATAACATCCAAAAAGTAAATTTTATTATAAATGCGTGGTAACCTTTATGGGGTGTGACCAGTGTAGTGAGCTACAGAACCATAATGAAAACAATTCATGACCAATGGAATAGACTTTTGAGGCAGGGCGGAATTTTATATTACAAAATTATCTGCTATAAACAGACCCAAACCAACTGCAGTCTTTATACCAATCTGGCATTATTCTCGACCAAAACCTCCTTTTGGATTTTGGAAGAGATGTGAGCAGGATGTTTAATAGGGTTCACTTATTTTAGAAGCACTTGTATCCATTAGTACCTAAGACAGTTTACCCATTCCTATTGGTCGAGAGCCCGTCATGTGGGTGGTTTTAAATGGTTGACAAAACACCGACTGGCTGGTTTTAAACACTTTTCCGGTGTCACATGAAATTTTGATTCTTTTGAAATCTGGTTCCTTTACCCTTTTATTGGTTGAACATTCACAATCTTCACTTATGCATGCACATACTACCAATGAGTTTGTATTTCATAGAGTCCTAAATTCACACTACACCGGCACTGCCGCGTTCTGCTTTGACTTTTTGAACGAAAGGTATAATTTATGAATGGGAATAAATATGTGCTTGGCTGGTATTAACCAAGTATGATTAAAACCAGCTGGGGGCCTGGTCGCTGATAATGTCCCTCTCCTTTGGGCCATTATCAACATCCAGACCCCCAGCCGGTTTTCTAATATACTTGTTTAAACCTGGCCAAGCACATATTTATTCAGTTCTAAAAGAATATCACTCTTGTTATTGAACTTGAATTTCTTGATGAATCAGGCACCAGACTACAACCCCCAACCAAAACACCCCCAAGAGATCAAAACAAATCAAGTAGACCGTGAATGCCCTGAGCCAGAGCCGCTTCCTGAAACCACCACTGAACCATATCCAACAACAATCAAGACAATGGAGAAGAATGCCCTAAGTCATAGCCGCTTCCTTAAAACCCTAAAAACCAGCCCTTTAACAACAGGTCACAACATTGAGACATTGATGGAGATGCCAATGACTAATCTGATCCTTACAAGTAGGAGGAGGATCTCTTCATTTCCTCATCTTCCCCTGCTTCCTCAAGATGTTCCTTCCCCAATTCACAAGACAAGAAAACTCCTTAAAACCAAGAAGACCCTTAATCTTCGTTACCAACAGAGGGCGCTGTAAAATGATTGCTACAACTGGTGGCAAATTGAGCCCTACGGTACCTCCCTTGGGGAGCACACCTGTAAATCAACTCCCATAGACCTCAGTGATAATTACGCGTATTTCCAAAAATCATTAGAAATACTCGCAACTCTCCCAGGTGTTTGAGACACGTAACATCAAATTAAAGCTTATTTCATCGTCTTTAATTTTCTGTTCAACCTTTGGGTGGTAATCCGATGACTTTTGGGAGAAAAACTTGAAAGGGCCAAGAATAAATGAGAGCAAAGGTCTTTTTATAAACAGGTTAGGCAAAGCATAGTGTGTCCAAATGTTAAAGTCAGATACAAGTCCAACCCCGACATTTAAAAAAAACAGTCAACTTCACTTACCTGATTGTTGTCTGATTTGGTCTTGCTGAGCTCTCGTTGAAGCCGAGCCACTGTCAACTTCTCCCTGCAAGTCAAAAAGGAAAGAAGGGAAACTGAATGAAAATGTTGCTGGCACAAATGACGAACAACCTGCAGTCTGACAGTTGATATGCATCAAAGCAAAATCTGGAATCCATAGGCAAAGCTAGGAAACACAAAGGCATTCCATGTACCATGTTAGTCATGTCTACTTACATGTTATTACATGCACATGTACATGTAGGTGTACATGACCACACCCTCAAATGACACCATTTCTGAGATAATTCCAAAATGAAAATGAATCATAACTGCTGCAACTGCTTTCTGGCTGGATTGACCATTCAAAAGAATTACGACGGCCTCACGTTGCGATCTTAGCAAGGTCTTCTTCAGAGGCAAAAATTTCAAAACCACAAACAAGGAAACAAATGTAGCGGAGCTCCCTCGTAAACAGTCTAGAAACTGAACAGCGCGGTAAGAAACTGATGTCTGCTCAGTACTAGGAAGGGTTTGCCAAACTTGCATGGCACAAAAACCTCTGTAAACACATAAACCTCCCTTTCACAACCAAGTTCTTGGGTCTTTAAGGGGAAATTGTAAAACCTTTTTGTGCCGTTCAAAGGCACAATCTACCATCTTTAGTTTCCATTGAGCCACTTCACAAAAGAACGGTTTTCCATTCTCACAAGCGCCAGCCATCCCCAGAGACCAGCTGGTAAAGAGTTTGGGGATTAATTAATGCCTGGTAACAGTACAGTGATTGACAGGTGAACAATGGGCTATTAGAAGGCAGTCCATGTGGTTATGGTCATGGGGACAAAAAGGGCGTCAATTTAACAAACAAAATGGCTGAGAAGTGCAAGGCAACCTCCCTAAGAGGTTATGTGATAGTATAAACACCGATAATGGACTCTGTGGACTCCATTTTTGTCCTTTCTGATGATGAAAGCAGAGGGTTCTCAAAAGTGCATAGCCACTGTTTAATGATAGCTTGGAAACCCGGGGAACGTAGAGGTAGAAGACAATGAAGAAATGTTTTAGTTTTTGAGGGGGAAGAAACCCGTTAAAGGTAATATGCACCATTTGCAAACATTAGGAAAAAAAATAATACCAAACTATTAAGAAATCTCGTACTTGACTGTAAGTGAATAATAGTCTCAAGTATTCTGTGATACCATTGCACCTAGTGTGCTGTCATTTTCAAGGAAAAGTGGAATTTTTGAATCCATTTCCAACGATGGTCGGCCGACCATCGTTGGAAAAAAAAACCTGACCTTTTTTTCAAATACTGCCCTCAATTCACCACATTAAATTAGTCCACATTTTGTTACACATCCGTTAGGTGCAAGCCAGCTAGTCTGGTTCCTGACCTGACAATTCCCTGACATCCACAAATTGCGCCACTGCATCTGAAAACCACAGAATCAGATAGAAGCTAAAAACAATGACGATGCCAGTTTAGCACCAACACAATTTTCCTCTTTTTTGGGGGGGGGGGGGGGGGGTCGATAAAATGTTACTTCTGTAATAGCAGAACACTTCTGAATGTGGGAGGGGGACACGGTATTAATCTATCATTTCTGGGAATCAAAAAATCCTGGAGGGGTCAGAATCATAATTTTTCAGAAAACGTTCAGTCAAACCCTGCGCATGTACTAACACTGCAGTGTTTCTGTTGACAACCGAAGGCATATTATGTACATGTACATCCGAGGCATATTACATCCGTCAGTTGGCCAATATTCCCCCACTGCCATACTTAAGATACTGCTCCACGACCCAACATCTCCAATAATTAACCAGATACTTCACACGGCATTGTTCTGTGAAATCCCCCGGGGCCAATAATTAACATCAATGGTGCTAATTAACAGCTTCCGAACGTGACTAATCCGCAGGCTGAAAACCAGATATTGATTCCGGGATCATTGACGAGGATTAAATCCGGGTAGATGTAACGATTGTCCGTGCCTCTACTCCTCCCTGTGTTTAGACCACTTCAAAAGGAATTGACCGGTGCTTTCAGCAATTGACGTACATTGTACCGTACATCTGCTCGGGTAACATGGTTTGAACTGTTTTGCTTCAAGCTGCAGCTGATGCAAATAACAGACAAACAAATTGACACCCCTTTCCAAATTTGGTGTAGCCCGATGAGGGAACCAGTATGAAGTGGCCTTCACTGGTTCTCAAGAGTAGGCCACACAGCACCCCCTACAGTTTCTGCACGGTGTAATTGCAGTAAAGTAGCCTGCTTAAGGACACAGATTCCGAGGTCCTAAGGCAGAATTTCAACAATACACCTGAGGGCTGCATACTGACCGGAACATCGAGTTTATACCTCTGGTTCTTTTCAGAACCATTCTCTTAGTTGAGAAATTATTCGCATATGGTGTTTCCGCAAACCTTTCATTATTTAGTATCTCCACCATGCAAAGCCTCAAATCTTACTTGGCTGCAGTTATGTTCTTCATGTACAATGAAGATTGCTTGATGAAAGACATTTACATGTAAAGTAACTTGAATTACTGCTTGTACATGTATTTAAGTAGTTTTATGGCAGATAATGAACAACTGTTGACTGCTGTGATGTGGGATATGCCGCTTTTAACACCCGAGGGGGGCATAGCATGTACCTGAGGCAAACTATGCACCCCGAGGGGGTTAAAAGCGGCATATCCCATATCACAGCGGTCAACAATTATTTTGTTATATCGTGCCAATAAGTCAAAATGGTAAATGGTTGTAACTTACTAGTACTATGCAGGAAATAAATGAAATCAGTGCGGTGTAACCCTTGATACGTGTAACTGCAGGCTTTTCTGTCGGCCATGAGACTGAGCGGTTGTGCATCGCATGCAGTTCTCAGTCATGCGCTACGCGCATTCTATTATGAGGTTAATGTATTTTTACAGACTGGACATGTGGCCGTTCTCGACCAATGAATTTACAGTACCCAAGCACACCATGCCTTTTTTATAAATTAAGAGCAATGTACTTGCAACCATGTCTGGAAATGAACACGATTTGAACCAAACGTGTGAAGTACACGTCCAACTCTGACTTCAATGTGCCCAGACTACTTGAAAATGACAGATGATGAAACGGATTCCATATCTTCCAATCTTGCACTTAAAATCTGTCACTCTAAATTAAAACCTCAAGTACCTCAGTCATCACAAGGATGCGGCTTGCTGCTTCAAAATTGATTTGTGGCTATCAGTAACATTATTTATACTTTGCAGTATACATTTTCATGCGCATGTAGGTCCTGTGTTGTTTGTATAAATTAAATTAAAATTTATAAAAGTAAAAACTTTGCCAATCTGACGAAATTGGCTATATTATTTTTATCGTGTTGATGAAGCACCTAGCTGACTGCATAAAAACCTGACTATTGGGGTCCTACTAAAATGCTTCAACAAGCGTCAACAGCGGCAGCGGTCGTCAACCCAGCGTCAACAAATTTTGTATAGTTTTTGAACATCAGAAGTAGCTTTATATGATAGAAATAGCGAAAAAGAACATCTGCAGCATATAAATTAAAGATAAAATTAGTTTAAAAGCTGGTTGTTTTGGGGGTTTTTTTCAACGCGAAAAGTACGACTTATTCGGCAATTTAGTATTGGCCGCAATCTTGTTTTGATCTCGGTCAACAAGAACAAGTTTGCGGCCAACACTAAACCGACAAATTCGTCGTAGTTTTTGCGTTGAAAAAAACCCCCAACTTTTTAACTATTTTAAGTTTAATTGATATGCTGAAGATGTTCTTTTTCGCTATTTCTACCATATAAAGCCACTTCTGATGTTAAAAGACCTATACAAAATTTGTTGACGCTGGGTTGATGACTGCTGCAGCTGTCGAAACTTGTTGACGCATTTTAGTAGGACCGGACTTCTGTAGCCACTGTCATTTTTAATTCTGATTGCCACTTGTTTATTTCTAGACAACTTGTCTCTTGGGACTACCTGTCCATTACGGCCACCTATCTATTGTGGCCACTTAAGCAGGTACAGTACTTCATAATACATGTATAGTAAAACCTGGAAAAATATGTCACATACACTCTCTTTATTCAGGAGGCACAACAATGTTACACAAACATTAGAATAGACTCCAAACACCCATCGGCCCATTCACTTTACCTCAGTGTACTGTTGGCATTTATCCTACACAATACAAAGCTCATTGCAATTTCTCCCCCTGGATCGACCACCCACATAAATTTCCAAATGAGCCTGTCAACTTACTGCCACTCCAAAACAACCAGAAGAGCTCAAATGAACTTCATATTAATCCCGCACATCAACATCTGATATGACAGTACAACAGCTGCAAACATAGAAAAGAACATCCACTTTCAAACACTTACACACGAACCACTCGGCCGGCTGATAGACTCCACTATATTTAAGTGAATCTCCAATCTCAGTTTTGGCGCCTCTGATGCGATAACAACTCTCTCATCTTGAAGATGTTTTCCATCGATGCCATTAAAATCCAAACGTAGAACGGAAAAATGCTACTCGAAAGAACGGAAAAATGCTACTCGTAGAACGGAAAAATGCTTTGCTCACTTGTTCCGTCAAAACACAGCTCCTTGCAGTTTTATTTGCTGATTCATTGCCTCTTACTAGCTTCCGTGCTGCATTTTCTCCACCGTCACTCAAAGAGATTTAAGGACAAAGTGAACTGTGCAGTTTCAGCAGTGTAGCCGTAGTCCCCTCCATTATTGTGTTAAGTGATGCAGCTGACTGGACAACTCCACAACAAAACACTGAAGACAAGATGCCTCACACTGACAATGTGCCAACAAATCCATGACCTAAATGTAGCTTTTAGACTTGGAATCAGTCATCCTCAAAGCACATGCACAGTGAATAAGCCATCTATCGCCATGTCCACAACAGGCTTCCAGAGCTATGGCTATATGTCTACAGAAGTATAAATAGATCCTACAATGACATGCCTTATCAGCCTGATGAGGCAATTCTATGGTCTAGCAGGGCCTTTGTAAAATCTGATAGAGAACAATGGCAGAAGCCTGCAGTAGCTTCAGCCTGGCTGTAAGTGAGTTAGTCATGCCTGGGTAAGCTTGAAGGAGATGGGCTGAACCTCGGGGATGGGATTAGTCTGGCAATCTGGAGACACTGAATAGGACAATGAGAGGTGGTTTTGCCACCCATGAGAGTAGGGTCTGGATATCAGGGCTCACTGTAGACAATTTTTGAGGGGTTTTCAAAATCTTGCCTGTATCTCAGCCTCAGGAGACTTTAGGTCCCCATCACAGGGGACTCTGGGTCCATATTTTAGTTCAGAAAAGTCATATCCTTTAACTTAAAGCCTTCTCTATGATTTGGCCATTAAAGGCTTGTGAATGATTATGCACCCAGCAATGATGCTGGATGAAGCCTAGGTTTCCAAAAAACCCTAGCATTGTCAAATGCTGCTGACTTTCTCCATCAATAGAGCAGCAATGTATACAAACCACAGAGCCTAGCTGTCCCAAATGTACCAAATATTCAAATATTCGATCATCAACTGAATATTCAAATATCTTTTTGCCCGTTTGAATATTCAAAAGAAAAAAAATGAGCACACAGGACTGTGATTTTATTCGTAAAGTTGCGTTTTCTATTTTCAGATGCCACTTATTTGTCGACAGTAACTTTTTTGTTGATGCCTATTTATTGGTCCCATTCTTTTTTTAGCTGGGTAAAGTCCCTTGACAGTCATGCAGTATGTGAACGTACTGCAAAACAACTCCAGTGGCCCATAATAGCCATCACCGCATGCACATTTTTTACCGGCGTGCTTTGTATGCAATTTTCGACCAGCAATGAAGGTAGCTGCAGCTGGCGTGTGTAAAACTTGATCGGCGAGTTTCGAATATCTGAATATTGGGTCAAGTGCAGTTTCAAATAATCAAATACTAAATTATTCAAAAATGGGCAATTGGAACAGAGTCATTTCTGATTGTTACAAAGGTTTATTTCTTTTTCACCCCAATGACTTGATAAAGGATGATTTTATTGATACAAGTTATAGAACCTATTGCCTACCATTAGAGTTACCCGAAATATTAAATAATACAACTTAAAAGAGCTGAATCCTTCTCTCGAGACCTCCAAGAAAGATTCCACTTTGATTGAAACATCATCTCACTTTCAAAATCTATGTAACTTGTGTGAAAAGTCATTGGGCATGTAAGACTGATTATTGGCAAGGTACCGACATTGTAAACGTCAACAAGAACGGTAACCAAGACTAAACAAAAAGGGTAAAAATTGTAATGATAATGATGGTGACTTGCTGTGTTTTTTCTACCATCACATTAAAAAAACGAATTCATGTGATTGCCTGCAAAACAAATGATGAGTGATTGTGAAAAAAAATGATGTCCAATAAACAGATACACTTCAATTCATTGAGGAAAAAAACGGCATGTACATGTGCCTTTTAAAAAAAATTTACAGAATCCGAATAAGAAAATTTGTCAATTTCTTTCCAGAAAGCTCACATTTCAAAGTAAACAATTAGTCACTGATGCTGGAAATGTCATTGTGCATCTATGTATTCATCATTACCAGTCATAAGATATTTAAGGACTGGAGAAACCCTCATTTTCAGCCCCTGCCAAGTTTTAATTGGACCGATGCTGTCAATCACAGACTGCAGGATTCAGCAGGAGAGAAAAGCTAAGCTGTCTGACGATTTAAATTGGATAAGGGTCGCTGATCGCAAAAAATCCCTGTAAGGGGATTTTTAGTCAAAAAATCAAAGAAAATAGCGATCCAATTATTCGGAGGCTGTGGAGTTTTTTTCTAAACAAGCAGAATTTATCCATTTATCAAATTGGATGTATATTTATGTAGTGTTTACTTTTTGTGAAAAGCAAATTCTGGATATTTGGTCGAAGACAAATGTTAATGATGAATGAAATTTTCAAATAAATCAGAAGAGCCCTGAAAAAAATAATAAACAAATTGTCTTTCAATGTTAAATCTCTTTTGTTTGAAATGTAAGACTGAAGAAGACAATTTGTGCATGATTGAGATGATAATTCCAATCATAATGGTGTAATGTTTCTTGAGAGGTAAACATGAAGAGGCTCAACTAATGGTCCAAAATAAGATATTTTCTACCCATTTATTGTATTTGTAAAAAAACAAATTGGAAGTGCTCTTTCAAGGTTTGTATTGCGATGCATTCAAAATTAATGAAGAAATATGAGACTCTGCAAGTGACTTATATGACAGCTCAACATTGATTGGGTAGTCTATGATTGTCTGCATCCAATTCCATCCTCTGCAGGTACATGAATGCATTCCTGGGACGATAATCAAGCCAATAGAAATGAGTTATTCCTATCTCAACTAACCAATGCAGTAACTGGCATCCAATTTGCAGGGGAGGGGGGGGGGAGATGGGGCACAGTCACAAGATACCACAAGTCAATCACAAGTCCTGTGACAAAGGCAATCCTTTGTCATTGTTCATCTCTTGTTACTTCTGTCCTAACTTGCGATTGACTCGATTACAACTCTAGGGGAATTAGTGGGGCACTCTGGTACCCTCAGTTTTTGTAGGGGGCACTCAATGCGTTTTTAACCATGAAAACCTCATTTGGTGTTCCCCGAATTCTGAGAGGAGGGGGCACATGCCTTGACCGGGTGGGCCCGTGCTCCACCCCCCACGCCACTGCCACCAACTAAAGGCACCTGTCAAAATGCAAAATCTTGGTGCCATTTGAATATTCCAATCCTGCACAGTCCAGATAAAGTTTTCGAAACTCGGAGAACAGGAAACAAGCCAGCCTGGTTCAATATGTACTAAATGAAATTCGTCATGCCATGAGCAGGGTACGCTTGTCACCACCAAGAGGCTGGCTTGAGGCATTTATGTCAAAACCCCTCAGGCACAGTGTTGTTAATCTCGATCTTCCAATGGTTAATCCTCTTCAGACTGATATCTGTCATTAAACCAGCTGACTTTTCACTGATATGCATACACAGGGTGTCTGGGGAGCAGACCGGGTTAATCCCCTCGTATACCTTGGGGAGGTGAAGTACTGTGGGACTTGGAGATAAATCGATAATTGATGGTAATTTGTAGGGCACTGAGACAAAAAAAGGTCACGGTGGTCGACTAAATTTCTAGCTCATGCAAAACCCAAAATTGCAAGATCTGCTTCTCGTCAATTCCTTTCTCTGTCGGTTGTTTTTTACAAGGTATCGGTACATGTATGTGAGGAGTAAACAAAAATACATCTAATATCAACCTGATCAAGTCAAATTAAGAAATTATCATCTGAACAAATGCAAAAAGAGAGGACAAACAAAATGCACCCAATTTTCAAATAATTAATATAGAAAATTATTTTTTAATAGATCATTTTTTTAACCATCAAACCCTATTTAAAGGGAATATACAACATTTGCAAACATCGAAAAATAAAACTACCAAGTTTTTACGAAATACCTTACTAGGATGTTGGTAAATGACAGTCTCAAGCATCTTGTAAAATTATGGCACCTGGTGTGAAGTCATTTTCAAGAAAATGGTATTTTTGTAAATATTTCCAACCGTGGTCGGCCGACCACCGTTGGAAAAACCTAACTATTTTTCAACTACTGCTCCAAATTTACTATTTTTTCAGTTCAAATTTTGTTTGCTATTGGTTACATGTTCATGAACGGGTGCAGGCCAGCTAGACTGGTTCCCTTGACTTACAATTTTCCATCATCTATAAATTGATCCATTTTATCTTTTGTGGAGTCAGGGAACCAGACTAATTGAAACTTTTTGTTTTTCTTGGTTTTTCCAACCTTTTCGAACACAAAACTTAAAAAATGTCAGTGTAACAATATTTGATCTATTATACTAACCTCTCAAAATAGTTAATTTCTGAAAATTACAGCAAAAGCCAATGATGTACATTCCCTTTAATAAAGCCACAATATACTGTCCAGTGAATGATTAGATTGGTAGATTTCATTGAATACACCTTTAGCTTCAAATTACAAAACTAGACGGGGAAATGTGGTAAAGTATCTTGCCTGAGAACACAAGCACAGGTATTCATCACCACAGGCAAAACCAAAAATACACAATCTCAACAGCCAAGAGTTTGAACAAAGGATGTCAGTTAAAATGTACACATACCCCTTAATTGTAAAGCCACTGCACAATCTCAGACGTTCCCACCACCACTATATTCTCTTCAAGGGCCAACTTCACGGACTGCTTAGCATGGAAATGAACTAAGCGCAGAAAATATCTGCTTAGCAAGAGAACCGGTTACCAACCAAAACAGGATATGGTGTGCAATGCCTGTGACGGTTCTCCGCTGTTTTGGAGCCAATTCCACCAAAAATCAGCTGAGCAACATTTCCTACATTGACCACAGTCCGCTGAACACCATACTTGCGTAAGCTATTATGCACAGTACTTGCGTAAGCCTTTCATCATCTTCAAGTCCGATCTTGACTGATAAAATCTTTTAAAGATTTTCAACTTCCTCCATCAAGGTTCACCTGATTCGCACTAATTGTTTCATCCTACCTCACCCAGACTTTCAAATAGCCTCTGTTCCACATAACCACCCAAGACCGTACCACCGAAGACCGTAAGATGTATGCTCCTCCACGTCCGTTAACCCATCCCTTGTTTTTTTTCCTGTTATGATTAATCTCAATATTTGCTTAATTCCCAATAACAAAGACGACTCCCACGTTAAACAGACACCTCCATTGCAAGAGATGGATTTGATTAGTCAGAAAAGGAAAACAAAACCGACACAGGTTGGGCTGATCTTTAGTGGATGCACGTTTTCCCATCACTCAACGTCAAGTCACTCACCATGAGTACAGCACAGGCCGAGAAAGGTAACTTCAGGTCACTGGACACACAGGGCGCAGCGCCGCCCGAGCAATGCCAAAGATTGATTGCGCCGCTACGAGACGGCGCTAGGGACAGAAACTTTTCGGAGATGATTGATCGCCGGCTAAAGATTCGCTTCCAGAGAGTCAATTATTCATAACCGGAGCACTTCCTGGCCGTAACACAATGCCTCCAATCTATGCATAATTTAATTTGTACATTTTCAATATCACAGGAATTCTTACTTGCTTCAACGTTTTGTTTACTTTGAAATTTCTTAATATTTGGTAAGTGGTGGAGTGCGCTTCAACGTCCCATATTCCAGAGCACATCTGAGTATTTAATTTCCTAAAAGCACTGAAATTGTAAAGAGTTTGTTTGGCAAATTATTTAAGTTATCTCCTGAGCACAAGAACTACCAAATTATTTGAAATACTTTACTTGACTGTTAATGAATAATAGTC